CCCCAGACTCCTCATACTCATGCCAAGACCCTTGTCCCGTAGGCTTTTTTATGTGAGCCTACTCAACGAGCCGCAAGCCTGAGCCAACAAACCAGCCAATTCCTCTCCTTTGTTTTCGTAACACCAGTCACAAACTTGCAACTTTGCAGTGTCGCAGTCGGGGGATGCTGCTTATAGGCCTTTATTCCCTGTTTATGTTCGCTTGTGGGTGTAATTCTGGCAGCAATTCTTTTGCGGCTTCTGCGATTGGCACTTCGGCGGTCCAGAAACCTAGTGCCAGTGAAGCCCTTGCAGTTGAATGCCGGTGTCTTGAATCCAGATCTTAAAGGGCTAGGGGCGAAACGGGCTGCTGTGACACATGAGGCTTCCAAGCCCTTCCCGTCATCCCAACACCAGATCGAAACTCTGAAGCTTCCCAGTGGGCTGGGTTTAAAGGCATCTGTCAGGGATATGCACATTTCGGGCTTCAGGAGGAGGTGCTGCTTTTTGTCGTACTTGCGACCCAGGTCTATTCCGAAGCCAATACTCTTCAGAGCAAAGCTCCCCGAACCAAGTGGTTTCGAACGCCAGCAGCTTTCAGAAATCTACCTCTGCAGCCAGAACCGCAAAGTCTCAATGAAGTCAGGAGCTCCGGGTTTGCGGGGGCTGTCTACACATAGCTTGGATGCAAACCACAAACTGATGCATTTTGGCACAGTGGATGGTTGGAGAGTTTTCCAATAGGAGCTGGGCTAACATCAATCATTCTGAGTAGCTAAATAGTGGAGCTGAGCACATCAGGTGTCTCATCAGCTCGAGTTATTCCTGCGATAGGCTGATGACAGGTGATGTGGTCTTTGCTAGTACGAGCAGATTGTCCTGCATGGTGCATGTCAGTACGGTCACACCACAGGGAAAGACGAAGCTATGGCTAGTCCTCACTGTTCAGGCTTGGATTTTCAAAGCACTCTCGGGCCTCTGCAGAGCAACTCACGTCCTTCTCGAAGAGCCAAAGAACCAAGCTCAGCACACCGATCTCGCCAACTCAGCAACGGCTGATCACTGTCGCATGTGAAGTCCTCGACCCTGAAGTCCCGAATCCCTAACTCTGGAATCCACTCTTGAAGAAGAACACCGGCTCTCTCATTTTGTTGAGGTTCTGTCAGAGCGCCATCGAGAGCGCTCAAAATGATCATGTCAACGTCGTCCAGTCCATCCTGGCGCAGCTGGGCATAGCGTGTGGTGTCATGTTTAGCATTTTGCAGTTCTAAAGCTTGGGCGCCTGCATTCAAACACAGATAGAAACTTGAAAGATGCTTTGGGAATTGGCTTCGGGTATGTGAACAAAGGCTGGCATACCCATGTCGCTTGAGGGGAACTTAAGCCTGCGACTTCCTTCGACGTCAACTTGTCATTCGAAGCATGCATTGCTTCTTATCGGCTCTGGATCTGACATTTCGCATCTATGGAGTAATGAAGACCTTAAGTTCTTCAAGCAGTCTAAAAGGTTCTCCGAGATCTAGTTAGCTAGTTGCGAGCAAGATGTCAGGAATCCTAAGTCCGAAGTCGAAGTTCTGGAACCGCGAGCCCCGCAAACCTATGGATGAAGTCCCGACAGTGACACCACCTGAAAGATTTAATTCGTTTCTAGAAGCCCAGCCACAGTGGTAATGAGGATCTGTCAAGGAGTCTGTGATTTTGGCCAGAAATCTTCGTGCGAAGTCCCGAGCGTCCACCCAGACAATTAGCTTCTGCACGCCAAGCCTGCACTAAAATCCCAGACATGAATGACTGCAGCATGAGCGCAGTTGTCGTAGTTTGTGCCAGTGCCAGAAACACTCGATTTTTGAGTGACAAGTACCTGTGCCACTTTCTTCGCCAAGAAGAATACAATAAACATCATCACCATCATCACCGTCGTCATTACCATGATCACCATCAGCGTCATCATCAGCGTCATCATCATCATCATCATCAGCAACATCTTCAATATCATCATGCCTGAAAATAAGCATCAGCATCATCGTCAACATCATCAGTTCCTTCATCTTCGTCACCATGATCGCAATCAACATCAGTAGCCTCATCAACAGCACCATCACAACCATCATCATCATCATCATCATCATCACCATCACCATCATTATCATCGTCATCGTCAGCATCATCATCATCATCATCGTCACCATCATGGTCAGCATCAACATCAACATCAGCCTTATTATCACCATTAATGTCAGCATCACCATGTCCTTCACCATCACGGTCGTCATCATCAGCATTAGCATCATCATCGGCAGCGCTGAAAGCATCGGCAGCAGTAGAGTAGCATTATCGGCAGCATCGTCAGAATCACAATCATCACTAACGTCGGCGGTACCACAAGCTGCGCCACCGCCACCGCCACCGCCACCGCCACCGCCACCGCCACCGCCACCCCCACCACCACCACCACCACCACCACCACCACCACCACCACCACCACCACCACCATCAACATCACTATCGTCATTACCACCACCACCGCCACCACCTCTACCAGCACTATCACCACGATCATTACCAGCAGCTCCATCATTCACCATCTTCATCACCATTACCACTCAACATCATTAGCGTCGCAAGCATTGCTTCGTGCTCTCAGTTCTGAAATTGCACGGAAATGGCGCCAGCGATAGCGCCCATCGTCAACAGACAATTATGCTTACCACTTTGACTATTGACATCAGTAGTACTAGATGCAAGAGTGCAAACCAGAACACACCACTAGCAGGGTCCCAACACCTTACGTCGCAGGACAGAGACCTCCGCATCGTTTGCGTACGACTTGAAACTTTTGATTTGAGCCCACCCGCAGAGGGAGAGAACAACACAGAAAACGCCCAGGAACAAGGAGGCCCACAAGCAGCCGCCAGCCTGCATTCGACGATACTCCGTTGGTTGCTCTCACGTCCTGAAGGGCGGTTCACAGAAGTGCCATAGTCTATGGCCAATTCACAGGTTGGGTGTTTTGGATCTCTGCTCGTTGCTCGGTTTCTGGAATTTCTATCAACCTTTGTCTATAGCTGTGTCTAGGTCGATATGAACTGTGTGTAGCAGTACATAATGCAATATGAATGAACAAGGACAAGATATGTAAACAAATATATATATATATATATATGTATACACTCATACACACATGTACAGATGCACAGCTTAAGAGTGGCATGAGTTTTTCTGACTCGGGGTGTATGGTCTTGACTGGCTGCCAGTTCGGATGCTGCACTTGTATAGTTTGGGAAGTGAGGAAATTGAGGTTTTTCAAGGTTCGTTTAGAAGTGCCAAGTGCTATATTATATAGCTGCATCATGCTCGTTCGTCCTGGAGTACCATCAGCACCACCACCACCACCACGACAGCACATGCAATGATGCAGACGATTATGAGGATGATTGCGACGATAAGAAGAAGGTCATGGCGATAATGGTGATGATGATGAAGTTGATGATGATGATGCTGATGATGGCGATGATGACTGATGTCTCGCAGCAGAAATCTACCAAGTGGACTGGATGCCCTCCGCCCGGAAACAAGGATGGATGTTTTCTAGATGTGCTGCACGGTCGGCATGTCCCCCCCTGCCACGTGTCCAAAACCTGCGCACCAAGCAGTTTGGTTCAAAACTTCGACACTTGACTAGACACCCGAAGGTTGAGGGTTTAGGGGTTTCGGATTACCGCTACACGCTTTGGGTCCCAGCCTCTGAATATCCCAAAGCATCACCTTGCGGTTGTAGGCTTAGCCTGGCGATGTCTTTTGACTGGTTCGTGGAGACCCACAGCCGAAACCGCTTCAAGTCTGAGGACTCGCTAAAATACAACCACAAGTCTCCACAGCAAGTCTCCAAAGTCTTAGTTGGCAATAACGATGGCTTGATATGCCGCCAAATGCTAAGGCCGCGTATGTTGATACAGCTTGGTTAAGCCTGAGTTGAATTGTGTTAAGCCACGTGGCACCCTTTTTGACAATTCGCAAACTCTGCGAGACCCCATAGCTTCAAATCCAATCCCAGAAGAGCATTTAAGACCGCTCGAGCTAAGGAAGGTCGGGCAGCTTTTTAACCAGCTCGGGGCAGCGGATTCTGTCGCCCAGTAGCAAGCATGTCGCGGGTTAGGGTCTTGGGGATGTCGGGTGGAGGTGATTCAACCTATGTTTCAGAGTGTAGGCTTCTGATTCTTGTATTCAGACCATGAGCTTTGGAGTTTAGGGTGCGGACGTCTGGGCATTGTGTCTGATGGGCTGTGGAGAATAGTATTGCAATCATTAGCATTTTTTGTCAGTAGTGGTAGAAGTAGAGAAGCAGAGGTAAGTAGGAGCGTAGGAGGGAAGTAGTAGAAGGAGGAGTAGTAGCACTAATAGTGGTGGTAGTTGTAGTGGCCTATAATACTATGTTGAGGAGAGTTTTTGTCGTGGCGGTCGTGTATAGTTATAGTAGCAGCAGTAGCGGCGGTAGAGCTAATCATGTGTATTTCCGGTCAGTGCATCATGCGCAAAGCGTTGGTATTGAACCTTGCATGAGCAAAGACATATTAAGCATGTGGAACATGGGTCTCATCAGCATCTGGTCTTATGCGCCCATGTATCCTTCCTCTTCTTACACAAAGCTCATGTGTGCAAGATTTTCATGGCTTCGAGGCTACAGGGATGAGAGGGTTCCATTATCCCGGTATCCTGGATTGGAGATCAAGACCTTTGTCCAGATGCGGCGGTTCTAGCCTGGTTAACTACGATGCGAAGCTATACAACAGATTAAAAGAGCTAGGCAGTATCCCAGGGGCTCTTACTTTAGCTTCCTAATGCTTGCATCTGGACAAATCTCGGCTCAATGCTCAATGTCCAGGCGCCATGGCGCATTAGGGAGAGAGCCAGAGCGAGACCTCAGAGAGAGAGACAGAGAGTGGCTGCTCACGTAGAAGATGCAAAACATGTCCAGTTAATTGGCATCAACCTTCGCTCTATACTACCTTGGACGCTTCCGAATGGTCAGCTCGGGCTGTGTTGTAGCAACTGCTTCGTACACACTGCCCATTCTTGCGTGCTGCAGCTGGAGCCTTCTGTCGCTCCTGAACGCTGAGTTGCCCTTCTTGCAAAGGCTCCAACGCTTTTTCGAGTCTGGGACTCCGCATGAAGAGCCAGCTCCTTCCGACGGTGGGACCCCAGAAGAAGCCAAGCGAAAACATGGGCAGTGGCCCGTGATGTCCGTCGATTTTGCGAAGCCATCGCTCGGCCTTTGTTTGTGGTGCTGCTTTCCGCTATTGGGATATGCAGTGGTCCGCGGCCTGAGTGGCTGTCAACAGTATACGTGGTATTGCTGGCAAGTAGAGGACCAGACGACTTCCGCACACTTGCGCAACCTCCTCCACCTGCTGGCCGCAAGCATCCTGTTGGCATGGCTTTGTAGCGTACCCCCAAGTGCAGCACGATACCGTGCCTTGTTCGTGGTCATTGCTTTCTTTGAGTTTCTCATCAACAAGGCAATTTGGGATAGCTGCGAGGACTTCATGGCTCACAGCGTCTCTGTTGGAAGCACATTTGGCGCCTTTGATGTTTTTATTGCATTAACCACGCTGCTAACGCTGGTGATCCACACCTGCGAGGGTTTGCCGAGTCTGCGCCGATGCTCTCAGAAGTTGTGCCAGACCATAGGCCGTCCAGCAGCTACACATCCAGAGCTCTACATGAATGCTTCAGGACAGAGGAACTATCTCCTCTACATGTGTTTCCTCTGCGTCTTCCACGTGTGTCTCTTCGTTGCCTTTTCGGATGACGTCCACGCGCATCACTACTGGATGGGCTTCGTGGTGGCCTCCTGCTGCATCTTTCCGACACCTTTGTCAAGGCTCATGCTGCTCAAGTCCGTTACACGGCAGCGTTAGAGACACATAACAACGTTGCCTGTTTAAGTTTGGGGATTTAGAGTCTCAGTCTCAGGTTTCGGGAGTTCTTATGACACGTGGGAAGACGTCCTGTCATGTCTCATTCCGGCAAAAGTTGTGCTCTCCTCGAAGGTAATGATGGCCATCGACGGTATCGGGGTCTGGGGCGCAGATGCCATTCTGGGAGAAGATGAGGGCGGCATGTCCGAAAGCGACGCTGATCTGCGGCTAATCTTGTGTGTGTTCCTTATCTGTTCAGCAACATGTCTGTCTGCTTCTTGCGAGGATCTAACCATAGCCCGAGCTCCCTGCAAAGACATCAACACGCAAATTTGTTGCACATGCTAAGCGATATAAGCGCAAGATTCTAAATCCCGCCCAATTTGCAGGCTCGTGGTCGTGGCGCTTGCGGTTGCAGTAGGCGTCAACCTGTATCGAGATCGGTGCATGATGTCTAGCAGTCGGCAGCCGACGGACACCGAGTGAGATGTGTAAGTTCCACGAAGCTCTCCCAAAGCGCAACACAACACAAATCTCACAACCCTAAGCTCTAGGCTCCAGGGTGTTGCTTTTGTCCTTCCGACTCGACCTCGGATGTCTTGTGGAAGACACACACACCGTTCCAACGATATTCGCCCAGACCTGGCCAAAGGCCGGTTGTAGTTGCGTTTCATTCTGCGGAGAGCGAGATCGCATCCTGCTTCTCCTTAGCGCAAAAAGCCATGTGGTGGCTCCGCCATCGCCAACGCTATGACCGTCACGATCACCAGCACCAGATCAGCACCCTCAGCTGCACTAGAACCCGCACCAGCACCGTCATCATCGTCGTCATCATCACTATCATCACCATCATCACTATCATCACCATCATCACCTTCATCACCTTCATCGCCATCATCGCCATCATCGCCATCATCACGATCATCACCATCATCACCATCACCATCCTCCTTCTCGTCCCCATCCACAAACTTATCGTGTTCGTCATCGTCGTGGTTGTCGTCGTCATTATCGTCGTCATCATCGCCCCACCATCATCTTCACCATTGCCAACATCATCCACATCTTTGCTCTTTACGGCGTTCAAGCACCATGTTCGTCTCCATTGTCACAGTGTCGACGACTTTCATTGCCGACGCTTTGCTGCAGCAAATTGCTGCTACTGCAACTTGCTGCTGTCATTGCTGCCACTTCTGCTGCTATTGAGCGCTACTAGACTGCATGAAGAGGACGAGGAGGCGATGAGGAACACTGTCTCAATGACGACGACATCGACGACGAAGACTGCGGCAGCAGTGCCGACACCGACGACGAGGACGAGACTACGACACCGGCGGTGGTGACGATGACGAGTAGTCCCACAGCAAAGCAGCTATTAAACTGCTGCCAGTGCTGTTTGCTTGTACCTGTTCTGTCTTCTATGACTCATCATGACTTTGATCTTTTTGCTGTGTCGATTTTGCGACTGTTGGGTGTGGCCGTCCGGACTTCTCGCCAGGAAGGTTCCGGCATCACCTTTGCGATGTTCGAGGAAAAGATCAACTCGCCAGAGGTGGCCGGCATTGCTCTGAGCCGAAACCTCAAACCACGAGTCAATCCCGGAATCCCGAAACTTTTTGCTTGAAAAGCCTAGCCTGTAAACCATAAGCTCAAGATCCCGAAGCTTTGAGGTTGATATAGTGTTTCCGAGCGCACACTGGCAACTCTGATAGCACACCAAGTGCCTCAGCCGCCACTATAGCCCTGAGTTGTGCGCGTACCTGCATTTGGGCTTCTTCCGAACATGGTCTCTAAAGTGAGACTTCTCCAGGTTCCCGAGCGGGGAAGACAGTGTTGACAGTAGCAAGTGGATGTGCGACCTCTGTAGCAATTGTAGCAATTGTAAGGAACTCATGTGTCGAAAGTCTCCCAAAAAGCCTAGGTTACAAGTGGGTTCTGGGATAAAGCTTGGTACGTTCAACTGAGCAGTGTGTCTTGTAAGTGCGCGTTTGCGTTTTTATTCGGTTAACTTCTGGGGCGAGCCTCAGACATGTTGGGTCTAGCTATTGAGCTTCGGGTTGTGGTTGAGGGCTGTAGGCTCGCTTCGCTGTCGGTTTAGGCTGAATCTTCAGGGTTTCAGAAGAATCGTGGACAGGGGTGGGAGTTCTTTGAAGCTCAGGATGCGAGCGGTACTCTTTCGATTTCTTTGCTGGGTGCCCTGAATGGCCTCATAGCTCAAGCCCTGCAGCCGAAAGCCCTAAAGCCGCGACAGTCAAGACACGTAGGGTCCGAGCCGCAAGTTGTCAAGCGTCCCCAACAGCAAGCCCTAAACGGCCCCAAACTCCCTAAACCTGTGACGGTAAGAGTAGACAGTTTCCGTTGGACTCGGTGCAGCTTCGGAGAACCCAAGCCTTCAAGGACAGCATTCTAAGTTGCTATTGGGGCTCACTCATGCTACAACCAGCAGCAATATTTCATTCCCTTTTTTTTGCAATCGTCTTCGAGACTGAGCCACATGGGTCGGCAGAGTTCGTGGTGCGCCCGTTTTCCTAGGACGAATCGAAAGTCTTCGTGGGCAGATATCAGAGGGCTGTCCTGAGTCATGGCTTCTGTTCAGATGCCAATGAACACAGTTCACACAGGCCGTCAAAACCGCCCAAAGAAGAGATCCTCGCTTCGTGAAGCCGCGGTGCTTAGAAGCCCCGAACCCAGCGGCTTCCCTTCGTCGAAGCCCTTGAAGCTGTGTGGCCAACAGCTCGGGCTCGGGATGGGAATTCGGTTTGGGCCAAACATCCGCTGATGACAGGTGCGGGAATACTTCTCAGCCATGGGGCTCGACATCTTGGCTGCATTCGTTTGGTGGTCGACTGTTTAAGTTTTGTGGTTTACGACTCGGACTTCCGCATGCCGCGCAAAATGTCCCAAACCTCGAGCCCTAGAGCCTCGGTCCAAGCCCTGAGGCCCAATATCTTGGTAGATGTTGGGGCTTACATCCAAGGGGCACTACTAGACTAGATTACACTTTCAATACGTCCCGAATGCTCACATTTGCTTCCTTCTTGCTTTCGTAGATGGTTCTGCTATACTTAACGTGTAGGTTTATAGAGCTGGATTTTGTCGGGAAAGCTTTACGGTCCTGTTATTATGCTGGGCATTCAACGGGTCGGGCTTATGTGTCAACTTTCCGAGCCGTCTGTACTGAGATGAAAAGCATAAGCCCACAGCAGCCGGATTATTCGGAACTTTCCTCAAAAAGCCAAACCGTGCCTGCTTCATGACGAGCAAGGAATTGTCAATTGCCTACCCTCTTTCCACGCTTGAACCATCATGATAGCATCATCACACCAACTTCAACTTCAACTTCACGAAGGATATATGGGACGCATGGACATTTTTCAAGCTTCTGGATGTGGACGGCGGTGGAGAGGCTGTGCAAGACTTAAGAAGCTCAACACACGGTTGTTCGGAGTTTCTGCGGGCGGGTTGGGTTTGCACTTCTCGGCTTGGCGCTTCATCGCTGAGTTCCGAGTTCATGCTACGTGCTTGTCGGGTGTAGTGGTTCTGAGGACCTGAGTACGGAAGACTGCACGATTACAGCAGGGTATCGGGGTCAAGCTGTATCAAAGTTCCAGATTTGTCTGAACTCCTTCTGAGATGGGTCCTTGTGCCCCAGATGCTGGTTCCTGACGTTTGTGCGGTTATTTGAGGCCGTAATTTGTGCCATGGGTGTCGAAGTATGCTCAGCATTCCTCGGGGAATGCAGCGAAGGCACAAACTTCTCCATCTGCAGTGTGCAGTGTTGTTAGAGTTAACACCTGAACCTCTGAACCCCTGGACCCGGAGTCTGCAAACCACGTCTACAGCTGTGCTGCCTGGCAGATCGAAGTGGAGGAGTTTTTGATGGGGTGCTTGCGCTTGCGCGGGCAGGCCCCTTCTTGGTGCGTCGGTTTTGTGCCTCGTAGGTGTCACGGAAAGCACTGGGGTGTAAGTTTCATCTTCAAGATCGTAGGCTGACAACCTGATTTAATAAATCCACGTATCCAGTTTTCACGGAGCAGGGAAAGCCTCGACTTTGAGCATGACCATTGCGAGAGCAGCCTTTCGGCTTTGGGGTCAAGATGCTGGCTGGAACTGGAACCCTAGACTTGGCCCTAAACTCCGAGATTTCATGTTCAGACGGGACATAGATTCTGCAAAAGGCTCTAGGCAGACCAACCTCAAGGCCCTAGGCCGGCCCGACCCATGACGAGTACTCGTGCTGGAAATCCTCCCGTACAATTGTGTATAGCATGAACTAGCCTAGACCTTTTTGTAAACGGCTAGGCTCCTGCTAAGGGATGGGTCCTTGAGGACTGACGTCGTCTCTCGTCATGTACACTGCGAGGTTTTCAGTAGGTTGAACCTCTCCCAATCGTTGTAAGGTTTATTATAAGGGAGTCAAGCTCCACGAATATCAGATTCACAGGACCGCGTAAGCTCATAAGAATCGCAGAAGTGATGGTTGCGGCTATGTCTGGTGTAGAGTTCATCATAGCAGCATTTCCTCGTTCTGCCGCGTGCTATCGATTTTCAAACTGCCATACAGCACGAGTTTCCTGACCCATGGCCACACCAGAGCTTTGCCTGCGCATGCATGTCCTCCGCCTTCTTGCGGAGCCTGAATCCTGACACGCCGAAACCATGTCGGCGAAGTCCAAAGCTGATCAGGCGTCGGCCATGGATATCCAAAGAATCATCCATGAGCAGCCGCTTAGCAAGAAATGGCACTGCAGATCGAAACTTCCAGTATTGCTGGGTTACTAAGTATTAGTTACTACTTGTAGCTGATACTGCTGCTGTGGCTGTTGTTCAGCTTTTTCTGGTAGTTGTACCATGCTAGGCAGTAACAGGCGTAGGAGCAGGAGGAGTAAGAGGAGGAGGAGGAACAACGGTACCAGAGTGGTAGAGGAAGCCGCCGGGCCAGAAGACAAAGCAGCCCATAGCACTCCAAGTGCCAGTAGTTGCATGTGGCCGAAGTGTAAGTGTACATGGAATGTCACCGTAGCAGAAGGTTCAGGCCCCAAAGCCTGCTGTCCGGGTTGCACCTCTTTCCAGTCTTGCTGTTTAATCGTCGGATCTCCAAGGAACTGGTTGATCCGATCCCAGGGCAAATTCCACACGCACCTGGATGGCATTCTCAGTATAGACAACGCTGCGTAGTTCGGGCCTGGCCGAGGATTGGCTAGAGGAAACGGAGAGTCGGAAGATCAAATTCCTAAATTACCAAAATACAGTACTGAAGCTCCCTTGCAGTGCCATGTGGGAGTATCCCGCGTGCCTCTTATTGACTTTCACCCCCCTGCTTAAAGTGAAGATCGAGCCAGCACCCTGCGTCTCTGCATTGGGTCGTACACCTTGCCGAGTGGTGGGACCAACCTACAGATAGGATAAGTCGAGCGGCAGATGACACGAAACCTCAGGCACAAACACTGGAAGTTGGGTTTCGACCATGCAGCTCATGCTCGAAA